AGAGAGAGAGAGAGAGAGAGAGAGAGAGAGAGAGAGAGAGAGAGAGAGAGAGAGAGAGAGAGGGATGATCTTAATATAAATATAAGATAAAATATAATATCTAGTTATGAATATTTCTCCTATCTTTTGTTATGGTTGCATAATTTTGCCTCTTATTTATCGTTTTAAATTTCGATATCCTTTCTTTATGCGATATCGCGAAGATACGTTTCACTTGAAATATAAAGACAGCCCGAGACAGATAGAGATCGTAATTAAACAGGTCTAATTTCAGCGAACGATCGGATTTCGACGCAATAGACAAAGGCGAGAACGACTTGTACGTCTTCTTCGTTGCCAACGGAAACGTATTTGCTTCTAAGTTTTTTCTTGAGTATCTGGGGCTTTAGTTCGGAACGCGCGTTTGGCGATAAGCGTGGTCGTTCCATTCCACGTTTCGTTCCTCTCACGATATTGTTTTATCTTAAGAATTAAGATTGCATTCCAAAATGTTCTTTTTGATTTTACTCCATACCTACAGTCCACGTTACATAAACTATAGTCTCGAGTAAAATTTCCTCGAAAAGGATGTTTTGGAACGCAACCTAAGAAGTATTTAATGTTTGCCACATTTTTTACACAAAATATATATTTCTTACATATCTCTTTTATATTTTTCTCGAAATTGTTATCTTTTCCTCCTTTTCTCTTGCTCGAAGAATAAGATAATAATGACAATAACAAGTTCGAATGATAGATTTCCTCTTTCGAGGGAAAAGATAGATAGATTCATCTTCTTAGTTACTGTGGCCTTAAATATGTCACTTCTCTTTTTCTTCTTTTTTCATATTTATTCGACTCCTCTATTTCATACAGCACAAATGTTCAAAATACATCCCAGAGGATGTGTGATATCTCAAGGATATGTGATATCTCTTGGACATTTCTAGGATGTATTTTGAACATTTGTGCTGTATGGAATGTTACTACATTTCAATTTAACTAATATTTTTATTCCATCTCACACCTTTATTTAGTTACAAATTTTTTTCTCAAATATTCGTTGGAGATTTGTTCCTTAAAATATTTATATTTGAACTTTGTTTATCTTATGATAATTTTATCAGATCAGTGTGTTTATTTTATAACTTGTAAGAATAATATTGTTATCGTTGAATATCGTCAGGAAGTTATTGTATATGTTATATCTGCGTGATAACATCCCAGATAGTACAGAGAATTCTAAAAGAATTCAGTCGTATGTCACCAATTCTGAGTTCATTTTTAGATATAAAAAAAATTCTTTTCACTGAACTGAACTCTGAAGAATTCTTTTTATATCTGAAAATGTGTGTAAACTCAGATATGGTGACATACGACTGAATTCTTTTTGAATTCTCTGTGTTATCTGAGATGCTTAACGCAAAGCAAACGCTTGCACAATTATAACATTGTAAACGTTAAATTACAAAACAGCTCTATGTATGTGCAGGACTCACATTCGGACAGATATTATAAGCACCTAGTCGAACAAACATTGCAAATTTCAAGTGCAATGAATTATACATGAGTATAAAAGACATATTCAGAAAAAATTATTTTTGAATAATGAGAACACAGGTTTTCCTTCGCGCGCATTGAATCACATAAAATATATTCTTGCAAATAATTTATTTTTATTAACGCTATGTAATCTTATTTGAAAATTAATATATAAAATAATAATTATAATAATATATAAAAAATGAAATTATTTTCCAAAAAAGAATGTCCTTTCTTTCTGTATATGTAGTAAGCAAACCGAATTTTTGTTTTTATTTAATACTCTTGATTAAAATGCCAAATTTACTAGAATTGTATTTTGAATAAAATTAATGCTTATGATAGATTGGATTTGCGGATATATAAGCTCATGAAACAAAATAATATTTACTTGCATGTATTGTTCTGTGTGCAATATTTGCACGCCTTATTATTTATAGAGTGGTTTTACGCGATAAAAAAACATCACATTGGTTCGCTTTTTGTTTGGAGATTTAATGACTTTTGAAATAATCTTTCAACCGTTACATTTCATTGAAAGCGAAACAGAAATTGCAATTCGTCAATCCACGTGTCGTATTTCGCGACGTCGTAATCTGTCTCTCAAAATCGACGATAATGCTGGGCCGACACATGTTTTCGTATTATTATACTTTCTTCTTATTGAAAAGAATGTCAAAGCATATTACGGACCGCGATTCGCGTCTGGCAAGCGCGATTTTACGTGTGGATTAAGTTATCAGTTACGATAACGCTGCATAACAAGGCATAATGACGTATACATGATCCTCATTATCGGACATTGGTAGCTTGATATCTATGCAAAGTGTCTTCTGTCAGTTAAGTCTCGGTTTATCGCTTAGGAAACTCTCCCGCCGGAAATTCTCTGCGATCAAATTTCTCGAGCGCCGCAGTCGTTCGCTTGTAACTCCTCTATCTTTCGATGCTACTGAATGACGTGTTATTTAATTGGTTATACACATTAGTTTTAATCAAACTTATTTATAATATCAATAAAATTATTACTATTGCGGATATATTGTTAAAAATTAATTTTTTTTTCACCAAATTATATCTAATAAATATGCTTGCAACTAAGCTATCGGCTTATCTAGCAATTTCTCTTGTGTAACACAGGATATCTTAACTAATCGATATTAATACAAATTAGAAGATCCTTCCAATGAAGATTTTCCAAAAAAAAAAAAAAAAATTAATAATATAACTACTTATTATACATATAGCTACTTATTATTAATATTACTACATATTATACTACATACTACATACCATAACTACTAATTATTAATATTACTATAATACATTGATATTACTAATAGCAGATATCAATACACTTGTGTCATTAATTGAGAGATTGACAGAAATATATGGTGAAAGGATAGTCTGTATGCATTAATTAATTAATTATTTGATATTCGGTGTTATACTATGTAATATTAAATTAATATTTGATTTTTTTGCTGTATATTTCAGGTTCGACATTGGGCAGTTTTTCGAGTGTTTCAGTTTCGGGTTGTGATACGAATACTGAAAGTTGTCATTTAATACGTGGTACTAATGCTACGATAAACATCAAATTTAAGCCGAGTAAGTACGCGGGAGATCGAGATACAAATCGCAAAATGTTTTAGGGACCACCTCATTCTGATAATTTTTATCGAAATTGCACTCAAATGAGTTCAAATGAGTTCACGTTATATTCATTTGCGTATTTTTCGAAAGTGCGTAAAGTGATACTTTAATTTCCGCTGGTAGTGTATTTAATTAAACAATTATTCAATTAAACCGTATTATGAATTTTATTGTGAATTTCATTTGGTGCACGAATTTCATGCACATGAAATTTTAAAAGTTAATGTAAATTTGACGTTGAACTCACCTTATCAAATAATTTCAACCGCCATTTGTTTTATTTTAATTATAGCTTTTACAATTTACTTTGATATGTTTATTTAAATAAATTAATATTTGTACATTATATATTTAAATGAATATATAAGAGAAAGAGTGAATATTTTCTCTACAGACACTGACATCAGCCAGGTAAATTTGCATGTGTTTGGTGTGATACTCGATGTTGAAATACCTTTTCCCATGGATAAACCGGACGTATGCAAGGATCTTGAATGCGGAGTGCATTGTCCTTTGAGAAAAGATCAAGAGTACAATTACACGACTTCGATGTTCGTGAAAAAGGCGTTTCCCAAAGTAAGCGTTCGCATTTGTTGATTTTTCAAAGTGAATTTCTATAAAACTGACTAATGATCTTCTTTGTTTTTCGCAGGTTAAAGTTCAGATTAAATGGGAGTTTGTGGACGCGCATAATCAAATGATAGTGTGTATACAATTTCCGGCCAAAATTTGGAAATAGTGAATTATGACATTTCCAATATTTACCTCAGATTACTTCAAAATCATCTAGACGAAAATAAGATGAAGATTCATAAAATCACCTTAGATGATATGAAGTTGATTCTGCTCAAAATTATCTACAAAAGGACCATTAATTCATATATTATTCTATATAAGATAAGAGGACCATTGCAATATTTATTTAGATAAGTTTATTTTTATGAGAGACTCTACTCATAAGAATTTATAAAAAAATCCTAAAGTTCATATTTTACACATCATATTAAACATTATAATAATTATAAAAAGGATATTATAATCATATTCAATTTTATTTTAAGTTTTTCTTTTTCAACAATAAAAGTGTTTCAGATGTTTTATTTTTAAGCAATTTGTTGAATGTTTTCTCTGATAAACTTCCAAACTGATTTAATGTTTTCTCTGATAAACTTCTCTTGTCAAAAAGCAGCACGTTGATTAACTATCACGTCGTGTCTTGCCGTGCGATAGGTGTTTCTGCGCGAGTCTTAGTTACTTCTACTTATGGTCAGATTTACCATTAATTTTATTTTTTTTTCTGTAATATATTCGGATGCATCGAAATTTTTACTTTTTTAGATATAGGTAGTTTTAATGAAGTGTAGATGAGCGCGGCGTCAGATTCTCTCCTACTCTTTTCATCCGTAAATAAATGATTGGAATACACAAATTCGGATGTCATCAGAAGATTCCTTGCAAATAGAATCGCTCTTTTGCTCTGTATTTTTATGACATTTACATCAAATTTATCCACATCTTGTCTGATTCAAATCTAAATCTGAAAGTAAAGATTTTGATACACTCGATTGTAAACAGAATCCTAAAGCAAAGTTTTAATTGATTTTGTCTTGTTTCGAACTTAATGAGCTCTAATACATTTGTATATATATATATATATATATATATATATATATATATATATATATATATATATATATATATATATATA